AGAAGCAGATATCGCTTGTGTTCAGTCTGAGATTATAGTAATATGCCCAGTGAATTTTTTGCAAATTTCAAGGTATAATATATTTTAATCTCCTATCGTTTGATCGTGTTCACAAGCAGGTATCTCATGTGTTCAGTTCAAGATTATAGTAATATGCTCAGTAAATTCAGCAAATTCTTTGGTATAAGATATTTAAGACTCCTATCGTTAGATCGTGTTCACAAGCAGATATCGCTTGTGTTCAGTCTGAGATTATAGTAATATGCCCGTAAGTTTTTGCAAATTATAAGGTATAATATATTTTAGTCTCCGATCGTTTGATCGTGTTCAAAAGCATATTTCGCTTGTGTTCAGTTTTAGATTATAGTAATATTCCCAGTCAAGTATGTAAATTCTAAGGCATAAGATTTTCAAGTCTCCTATCGTTTGATCGTGTTCACAAGCAGATATCGTTTGTGTTCAGTCTGAGATTATTGTATTATGACCAGTAAATTTTTGCAAATTCTATGGTATAATATATTTAAGTCTCCTATCGTTTGATCGTATTCACAAGCAGATGTCGTTTGTGTTCAGTCTGAGATTATAGTAATATGCTCTATAAATTTGTATATTCGGAATGAAGCAAATATGGTAGACAATTTAATCTTTTTTCCATTCCACATGTTTAACGCCATGCCCAAGTCTATGTACGATTAGCGGGACGCATGTTGATTTATGTGTTAAGGTACGAGTATGAATACTGCTACGTATTTCGAAATTAAAATATTACTTATGGATTCCTTCTTCGCCCTCTCAGGACCTGCCAGCACCCGGTCGGGGCTCGCCGTCTGCAGACGACATCATGACAGCATTACCACCAGCCACGACCGAACACGACGAAGATCTGTCGGAGTACAAGTTCCAGAAATACGCTGCGACTTACTTCCAGGGCAACGTCAATCACCAGTACTCGAGAAAACAGCTCAAACTGCCTCTGCTTAACTTGCAGACTCAGGGCGATCAGTTGGTAAAAAATTATTATACTTCAAATTTGTCATTATGAATTCTTGTGAAATATGCTATCGTTCTGTGCTTGACTGAATCTACATTCTACACAGAGAAGAAGCACTTCGGAAAATCGACCAAATCTTGTTTAAAATCCGATACCGTTTGGAATTTTTGTGGCACAATTTTATACTCTGTTTATTTTCATCATTGAATTATGTAAATTAGCATTAAAAGGATTATTCATCATCATGCAACTTTTAAGGCGGCGATGGCTCTATGGATTACCATCCTGCGCTTCATGGGTGACATGGCGGAACCCAAGTACCACATGATGGACAGAGACACCACGTCCGTCATGTCGAAAGTTTCTGCGACACTCGGAAGAAATTTCATCAAGAGTAAAGAATTTCAGGAAGCCCAGATGATGGGCATTGACCCAATAAGCGAAGTAAGAATTGGGGGAGCAGTACACCATGTTAAATGATACAAATTCCGCGTTTCGAGCGAAGCAAAATCATTGCCCCTTTATCGACCTTTTTCAATTACAAATTTTTTCAATTCATACATGATTCCCAGCAAAGTTGTAAGTTATTAATTATGATTTTTGTCTCAGAAGAACCGTTCAATTCGTCGGAAGCTTGTCTCGCTGACGTTAAAGCGGAAGAACAAGTTGGGCGACGATGTGCGACGACGTCTGCAGGATGATGATTACTCAGCAGAAAGCTACTCGTCTTGGCTGGAGTCACGTCCCACGTCCAACTTGGAGAAGCTTCACTTCATCATCGGTCACGGCATTCTCAGAGCCGAACTCAGGTAACAATAACAGCTACTCGTATCTTGTTCAAGTTTATGTTGACAGAGGTATTAAAATAAGCGCAAAAATGGTAGACCATGCAGTTATTTGTTTAAACTGTAAATTTTCAATTTTTTAGGAAATATTTCCTCAGTATTCATTTCATGAATGGAACTTTGCGATTTTTTTGGCAAATTGGTGTACGTAGTTTATGATTGCTATTTCTGAATGAACAGGAACGAGATCTACTGCCAAATCTGCAAGCAGCTCAGCTCAAACCCATCAAAGTCGTCCCACGCCAGAGGCTGGATTCTCTTGTCTTTGTGTGTTGGTTGCTTTGCGCCGTCCGAAGACTTCGTAAAATATTTGCTCAACTTCATCCGCGAAGGCCCCCCGGGGTATGCCCCCTACTGCGAAGAGCGTCTCAAGAGGACCTTTGCAAATGGCACCAGAAACCAACCACCAAGCTGGCTCGAGCTCCAGGTGCGAGTAGTTGCTATTGGTTGAACCACATGAAAGAATTGATATAAAATTGTAGTGTAAAATTGTCTAAGTTTGAACATAAATGAGTAAATAGTTTTTGGTATCACTATTTTTCAAATTTCCGTCACCCATTTGTATTAGCACCGAATAAGATAAATAATTTATTGTCAGGCAACTAAATCGAAGAAGCCGTTGATGTTGCCCATCACGTTCATGGATGGCACCACAAAGACGCTTTACGCGGATTCTGCCACCACCGCCAGGGAGCTCTGCAATCAACTGGCCGACAAAATATCCCTCCGTGACCAGTTCGGCTTCTCTCTATACATCGCTCTCTTTGATAAGGTGTCTGCATCCATAATATTTCTAAGATTCGAAGTCAATTCCATTTTTAGCTGAATATAGATTACTTTCTTTGCACTGGAATGCAAATTTACATGTGTAATGATAGGAACGCCTTAACTTCTCTCAATGCACAACTTGTTAGACAAAGAAACGATTTAAAGATTTGGGTAGTTTGAAATAGATTCCCTTAATCTGTGAACTTAAGTTCTCTCTAACTTTCATTCAATCAATATAATATTTCTTTTCGTTTCTGGTAGATTTGATACATAAGGATCAACATACACTTAGAAGAAAATAAAAAATTTATTCGAATTTTCATTCGAATTACTGTTTGTCAGGTGTCATCTCTGGGTAGCGGTGGCGACCACGTGATGGACGCCATCAGCCAGTGCGAGCAGTACGCCAAGGAGCAAGGAGCTCAGGAGAGGAACGCTCCTTGGCGGCTCTTCTTCAGGAAGGAAATCTTCGCGCCTTGGCACGACCCTACCGAGGATCACGTCGCCACCAACCTCATATATCAACAGGTTATTCTTTCATGAAAACAAGCAGTTATTCATTCAGCACTTACTAATACGAATGTCAAGTAAAAAAAATTATGAAGGTTGACGCCGAGTAATTTGGTCTTAGTTCGATCACTTCAGCGACTAAGATTTTTCACATAGGTCGAATATTTAAACCTGGACGTTTAGGACAAATGCGAATACATGTTTCTCTTTAAGAATGAATTGTAATAGCCTCATACATCTGGTGAAAGCTATATAGCAGAAAATCACATAAGAAGAGTATCTGAGTAAAGATTCCAACGAACATTATTTCCTCTCATAAAAACAATCAAGGCTACTCCTGAATCAAACTTAGACAATAAAACATTTCAGAACTGTCAAATATTTTGACCATGATCGAACGCACAGTTTTCAAGGGCCTTTTCTCCGAATAAATTTATTCCATAACTCGTGCTAATTAAAGAATAAATACATACAATTGCGTGTTTAGAGTGCACGACACACACGATTGTGATTATGGCTATTCATCCCCAGGTTGTACGGGGTGTCAAGTTTGGCGAGTATCGCTGTGAACGCGACGAGGATCTGGCGATGATTGCTGCCCAGCAATACTACATCGAGTTCAACACCGACCTCAACCAAGAGAGGCTACTGGCAAACCTCACCGGCTACATCCCTGACTACTGCGTCTCGGGCGGCGAAAATGCCATAGACAAGTTAGTGGTCGCTGGTCTACTCGATCATAACTTATACTTGATCGTAATTAAAAAAAATACTAAGCCTTTGAAATTGTTTTGATTAGTTTTGAGAAGGCTTTAGTCGATTTTTTTGAGGTCATAAACTTTAACAACATAAGGATGGATAATATCCCAAAGTAGAATAATAAATATCGCACAATTGGGATCTTCTATAACTGATCTTCGTTTTCGTGTTCTTTTGCTGCATCACCTCGCCTGAGGCCCTTTTCTGGATTTGTTTTCTCAGCGGGAACCAACCGGTAGCGAATTTGTATTATTTTGGGAAAATAATTCATTTTTCAATGACCCATTTGAATTTCATGTTCGTCCTAAGTTTTGAGTTTATGAAAATTTTGAGATATTTCTGAACGTGTATATTTCTTAACCAAATAACATTCAATTGGCTGTCCGTGTATCTACCTAAACTACTGTCGCACGCGACGCATTGTCATATAAAATATCTATTCCAATTTCTAGAACTGAACCATGGGTTCAGTTTTAAATTATAATCAACATATTCAGCACCTTTATGCGTTTGTAGGTGGGCGGGTTTGACTGTAACCGCCTTCAGGAAGTCATATTACGTCAAGGAGAAAGTGCCTGCCCTCAAAGTCAAGGAAGACGTCGTGAGTTACGCCAAGTTCAAATGGCCTCTTCTCTTCTCAAGATTTTACGAAGCTTTTAGGTGAGTGGACTTGTTTAGACTATAAGTTAAATTTTTAATTTTACTTTTCGATGCAAATGAAATCCGTTCATCGAAATTTATTTTTTGGTTGTCACTATCGAAAATCACTAAATTTGATTAGTTAATTAATTGATTTAAAATAGAATTATCGGTAATTTCCCCTGAACAGGTATTCTGGACCAAACCTACCGAAGAATGACGTTATCATCGCAGTTAATTGGACCGGTGTTTACGTCGTGGATGATCAGGAGCAGGTCTGATGTAGTTCTATTAGCCTATGTGAATAGTTTTTCCTCTTACTCGACTTGATCATCTAATTATGGTAATGGCTGCTGCTCCTATGCTATAGCGTAGTATTCGCTTTAAATTCGCTCGAAATAATGCAAGAGTTTCAACTCTCACTATTCTGATTTATTTACTCGCACCGAAAATGATGAAATGATTTGGAATTTGACTCCCTTTTTTGGAATATTATATCTTCGGAAACTTTTGGCTTTCCTTTCTTCAACTCATCTTTTCCTGACAGTGAGTGCATCTCTTTCAATGCAGGTGCTCCTGGAGTTATCTTTCCCCGAGATCACGATGGTAAGCTGCAGCAAGACGGAAAAAGTCTACACGCAGACTTTCACAGTCAGCACCGTCAGAGGCGAGGAGTTCACCTTCCAGTCACCGAATAGCGAAGATGTGAGGGATCTCGTTGTCTACTTCTTAGAGGGATTGAAGAAACGATCCAAATTCGTAATTGCTCTTCAAGACTACAATGCTCCAAGTAAGCGACCGGATAACGGCATAAGAACTGAATTGAAGATAAGCGGCATAAGAATTGAATTGAAGATAGTGAAATAGGGATTGAATTAAAATTTGAATTGTTTCAGAAGGCTTTGCGTGCTTGGAACAACACGCGCATTTATGCAAGTAGCAAGTATTGCTTTCATTCTGATTTCGATGAAGATTACAAGCATTCCTTTCGTTTCTCACTCCCATAGGCGAGTCTGCTTCGTTCCTGTCGTTCTTGAAAGGCGATCTAATCCTCCTCGAGGAAGACTCGACCGGTGAAACAGTCCAGAGTTCTGGCTGGTGTGTGGGGCGGTCCGAGAGAACCAAAGAAAGAGGAGACTTCCCTGCAGAAATGGTGTACGTTCTGCCAGCCGTCACCAAGCCTCCGCAAGACATTTTGGTGAGTACTTCAAATATTAGCTGCTAGATCTCATATATGTCGATATCAGTCCAAAATCCTTGCTAATTCCTCCTTACAGTTAAATTAGTTATGTAATGAGGCAATATTAGTTTACTGTTTAATTGCAAGTCTCACGGATTTATGCGCATGCGTGAGATATCCTTTCCTTTGAGAATCCTACAACGATTCTTCAGTTGCCGCTGGCCGCTGAAGGTAAGTATTTATAGTCTAATTGTATTATATCCAATTTCACCAAATGCACTCAGGTTTTGATTATGTATGCTTTACTGACGCTGATAAAACTGCAAGCCAGTATTTTAAACTGTTGAAATTAATTAGCCAGTATTAATTGCGAGCTTCATGGAATTAGGTCCTTGGGCATCATATGTTACGATGAACAAATTGTGATAAATCCAGCCCAGCTATCATTTATCAGTATAACAAAGCTATTGACTTGAACATATGAATGATTTCTGCGCGTAATAAAAAAATGACAATTACCTAATGATTCCCCTGATGCGACTCCCCCATCTAAAATTCCTTTTCGGCAAGATTTTAAATCACGTCAGAGGGCGTGGAGAAAAATTTATTTGATATGAGTTCTCAATCATTGTGGACGTCAAATTTGAAAACGTATTGATATAAATTGTTATAAAACTTTTCAGTTTCTGATGAAACTTCAACTTTATGAAAATCTGATGCCTCTCAATTTTTGAAACAACTTTTCTTCTTTTGCATGCTGGACCATAAGCATCTTTTCACACGTAATCATTCGACCAGTATATTTGCATTCATTTCTAAAAAAATCGTGACGAAGGTGCCTTACTTGTAACAATTGTGTCGAGCCTTTGAGCACAAATTTCTCGAAGGAAAATTTACACACATTCGTCAATAAATTATTTGGGTTGCCATTAGCAATTATTTACGTGCACCCATTAAATTATTAGAATATTTCCCATTTTCTTGGGAGTGTAAGTCAACTAGACCACAAAAAGAGGTTCATAGTAAGAATAAGCGAAGTTAGTAAATTATTAAATACTGATGTGGATTTGAGGGCGATCTCAATCGCTTTCTTTCCAACAAACCACAACTTCTGTCGGAACGTTATTTCAAATTTAGATTTACTTGGTTGCAAACAACTTAGTTTCACTCACGTAGCCTCACGTTGATCTTTCATTCACTACAGAAACCACTATAAGACGAGGCGTAGCGTAGCAAAAAGGGTAAAAAATATATTTCATAAACTATCACGCCCCGGAAAATGCTCACTCTTTCTTCGGGCAATAAGCTCTCCCAGGGATCGGGGTTGGCTGATTTGACAATTTGAAAAACTCCATCAACTCACAAAAAGGCCCCAAACGCCTTTTAATTTAATATTGTGAAATAAGTTTTAAAATCTATGGAACTAAAAAAAATTCTGCACGAGAGTTCAATTTTTAGACAAAAAATTAAATAAAATTACTTCAGGCTTTATAGATATACATATACTCGCAGATTAGAAAAGGCGAATTCACAAACATAATTATTATCAAAAAACTTACGACTGAAAGTTATCGCATTTGCATTTCCTAACTTCGTAATGATTTGATTGTTCTCAAACTAGCAATTTTGGTGAGAAATTCAAAACATTGTATTCACCTCACGCAAATCTCGCGACCCCGAAGATTTATTCGCGGCTTTTTGAGTGGATATTCCCTGGTCTGGACGTCCGTTTGGGCATCATTACATTGATATATACGATACGTAATCTATTAATCATGTCAGCGGATGTTCGATTCATGAAACTTTAAAAGAAGTATAAAAATCAGCTATTATTAGCAAAATCGATGCTAAATTCAGTCGCTTTTCAGAAGAGTAAACGAAAAAGTCATGCACTGCACTAGTGCGAAAAATGTGCATGATTTCAGTTTAATTGGAGGAACTGGATCACAAAAAGTGTTGCTATCCGGACAGGTACGAGTTTTTATATCGACACATGTCTAGATTTCAATTCAATTATTCCGAGTCGCGTAACAAATTGAATTGAAATTTCGAGTCGGAAAACACATTACCAGTTCAAAAACTAAAACGCACAAATTTTCAGCAAAAAGGCCCTAAAACTAACAAAACGGCTACTGATATTCTAGCTAGCAAGTCATATGAAAAATGATCTAAATTGCCGAACGTGGCCCGGAAACGACTAACCTGGCAAACCTGCCGGTGATGTCTTTAGTGTTTTTGCTTGTAACAAATGATGCTTGATCTCCAATAATTGATACCCATGCAGTGTCTTCCTTCCTCGGTCTTTCTTGTCAGTCGTTGCTTATCGCCACTGCGACGCAACAGCCTGAGTGCAGCGTGTGCCGCAATTAAATCGTTGTCTCTCTAAGGGTTACGCTTGCACAACGTCTCATTGGTTCTTGAGGATGAATTGGTGTCACTGCACGATAATCGGATCCGGCGCTTCGGTGAAAGTTCAAGTGAAGTAGTTATTGAAGAAACCTCGTTGCGCATCCCATGTTCTTACTCTTGTGTCGGCGTGGGTGGCGTCAGTATACGGCAAAATATCAACCCGGCAGCTAGCATTTGTCAGCGTCAGACAAATGATTTTTTTTATTTCTAAAACGCGTAAGCGGTGGAAAGGCTGTCTTCATTTTTTTCGTCATCATATCCATTGTTTTCGGTGTATATGAATACTATTAAGAATAAATATCGGTCATTCGCACAGTTTAAAACTGCCTATAGACCGCACCAGGTCATTAATTAAAGAAGGTCTGTCTCTCTGCATTATGAATACGATTCATTTGCTCCATTGCAGACGAGTTGATGGTAGACTGAAGCAGCAATAGACTTGTGTGTTTTTAAGGACCTGAAGTAGCAAGCGCTGCAGCATTTATAATTTTGTTTGTAGGAAGCATTTCTCATCCCAGTAATTGGCTTCTGGTCGCATATAAATGCGCACTTGTCAAAAAACCAAAACACGAACACATTTTGGGCCAGTTAACTTAGAACAATTAAAATAGAACTCTTCCACTTTTAAGGAATATTATTCTTTGCCGGTTGCATTCGCAGGAGATTTTAAAGACCTCTGCGAATTTTTGCAAAGCTATCGACTAGATACTCCCTCACAGATTCCGTTTACGTTTTTGTTGAGTGTAAATACAACACCTGTATCAGTTTAGCGATGTCTGATGTTGTTACACCGCGACTTTCTGTTTAGGCATTCAGTCGCGCTCTGGTGACGCGAGTAGCTTTCGTGCGTCATAAACGGTTCCTAGTGCGCACTTACTGCGTTTCTATTAACTTATTCGAGCGACACCACGAATTCTAGAGATAAATCTCTTTTCTTTTGTGGCACAGAAGCTGTTTGTTTTCCCTACTTATAGAAACGTAAGAGTCAATTAAATAGACCAATGATTATATGTGTAGGTGAGAACATGAAATAAATTCGCTCGTGAGAGCCTTCAACGCGCTAAAAGCACGCATAAATGACGGCCCAAGACACGCTCTTTGCACTGACTTAATGTGGCTTTCAGTCACGAACTCATTTAGCTTATCAAGTTAGCTTTCGACGCGTTTCTCTACTCATGTTCGTTTGTAAATGGAAATGGTCTCGTATTATATTTACGGTCACTGACTATTCTGACCTTCATTTTGGACTTCATTTTTTCAACAGTTTCTGTTTTTTTTTTCAGTTCAACAGTTTCTTGACAAATGGGTGTATGTATGGTGCATAAACAGTTTAGATGGGACTTACATCTTATAACGCCTCTGCGAACAGCTATATTTTCAATGCTTTTTAAACACTAGTTCTTGTCATATTCACTTTTTAAAAATATTTATTTACATTATTTATTTTAATGGGGCTTTTAATTATTGCGGCGTGTCGCTCGCCGAGAACAATCATATGCTAGATTACTTGTTTAACAAATGCAAAAAGGTATTTGAATCTGCAAAGTCATGGGACTGGAAGTTTATTTTCTATTTGTGAAGACATAAAATGGATATTAGACGATCCGATCCAGAATGGATCATCTGATCTTCCCACACACACGGTAATTTTCTGTGCGCTGTCTTGTGATTTATGATTTTCTGCGAGTTTATGGAGCCGATCACAGTAAATTGAGCGTGAAGAAAGTTTGATCGGAATGCCAGTCACGTACAGAGCTCGGTCGACGATCTTATCCGTAAATTATCGCTCAAAATATGGCGGTGCTTCCAATTAAATTTGTTGGCACATCGCTGTCGATAGAAAATTGTTTTTATAAGATATGTCTGTCTATTCTCATTTTCTTCTTCATCATTTTACAATTTTAATATTTTATTTCAATTGGTGTATTTGAATGAATATATCATGGAGAAATATTACTGCTGTGTTTTTGTAGATAAAAAATTTGCTTTTCGTAAACAGAATTTTTCATATTTTCCAGGTTCTTCTCTCAAACTGCATTGTATTATAGAAGTACCTAACTCAAAACATTCTTTAGTGCCAATTATTTACATATAATTTTTAATATGCTTTTAATATTTTCATTAATATTTTTCATATTGATTAAATTATTTTATTTTACGGTTGCTATAATATTTTTAATTTTTGTTAAGCGTTGTATTCGTACCATATATCTATATTGGATATTTATTTGTACAGGTAATAATAATTCTCATTGCGCTAATCTCGATACTTCCCCAGAATTAATCTTTTTTCGTCATATCGTTTTCCATGATTTAAGAGCACACAAGCGTAGCGTAGATTTGTCAAAACAGTTCATGTGAATCGAAGTTTGACGAAATTCCCAGCGATGCAAGGTTCGCGAATAGCAAAGGTAAAAAGTAACTTTTTGTGTCTTTGTTTTCGAATATCAGAGCACTCTGCTCCTCTATAGCGTTTGCCCAGAGACCAGAAAGTATTTGAGACCAGAAAATCTGAGCATATTTGTAGTATTTTTGGGACCTTTCACTGCCGCCATGGGCGTTCACTTTGACCGCGACATTGATTTATTCTGGCGCAAAAACCACATTGC